CTTCCTATAGCATATGAATCCAACTGAGACTCAATATAGAACACTATTTCATGTTGAAGTAGCATTAGCTCTCTTTAGCTTAAAAACACCTAAATGCTACAGCTACAATATACAGGCCTAATAGCACTGAATGTTAGCACCATGTCAGAGCTTTGTATCATTAGCACCACTAACATCTATAAAACCACTAGCATCATTCGTTTCACATCAGTAGTATCAACACATGTAGCATCATCAGCACCATTACTAACGTCATCAGAATGACCAGCATCATTTCAACCACCAGAATCATTAGCATCATCAACATCATGACTATCATTACCATTTACATCATTAGTATTATTAGCATCACCAGAATCATTAGCATCCGTTTTATTATTATTATTATCAACATCAGTGGCATCATCATTAGCATCAGTGGCATCATCATTAGCACCAGCACTTGTACTCAGAAAAAGTAACATGTACTTACCACCTGATCAGACTGAACCACTTGTTAGCACCGCAAGGTTTCCATGTTCCATCTGATCAGAGATGAAGAATGGATCAACAGGTGAGGCCCTTCTGTGTGTCCTGGAGCTGTTCCCTCCAAAAACCCTCCGTCTCCTCTGAATCTTTAAAATTATCTTTTAAACAGTGCTACTGAATTAACAACTCAAAACTCAACATGTTACCTTTGAGCCATCACACAATATGTCTTTCAATTATGGCTGAACGCAATGACCTTGAACCGAAGCTAACGCAGACTCCAAGCTAACGCGGGAAATGGCGCGCAAAGTCACAACGCAGCTCAGCAGGACAGGCCAGGCCAGTCCCTCAAAACACTTTGGTCTCTCTCTCTCTCTAGTAACCATATCCTTAAAAAATCTAAATTGAGCCAAAGTATTGAACACTATCTCATTTTGAATTACTATTAGCTTGCTTTAGTTTCTGAAATATCACTATGCTAAAGCTATCATTTACAGGCCCAATAGCACCGAATGCTAACGCTAATTAGCATCTCCCTAACCGTCTTACACACCCAATTTCCTTAAACTATGACAGCTCGGGAACAGAATACAGGCATATACAGCATATTCACCTCGTGCAGGTGACATAAAAGTATATCAGAATGTCCAAGGTAAAACTTACGTGTTCCCCACACGCCTTTCCTCCTGTTGCTCTGTCTCTGATGTCTGATTTTTGGCTCTCAGCTCTCCTCACACCACCTGCCCACTAAGCCCGCCCATTCACAGAGACTGCACTGTGATTGGCTGGTGAATTTGAACAACCAACGCCAAAACAGGAATGACATGATTGACAGGTAACATGTTAGATTACCATGTAGATAATGATATGTTAAGACTTGATAAACGTAAATAACTTTTTATGAACAAATCTCCTAACTGTAAACTGTCCTTTTTATCAAACTTTACATGTCAAAGTCATTATTTTAGGCAGCACACAATTTATTCAGTTTTAATGCAATTACACTTTCAGATTACATTTATTGTCCTTTTTAATCATTTTTATACAGGGCTATCTATCTATCTATCTATCTATCTATCTATCTATCTATCTATCTA